TCCCAGCTCCAGGGTCCCAATTTGTCCCAGTCCCAACCAGGTCCCGATAGGTCTGTAGGGTCCTGTCCCAGGTAAGAGTTTGTGGGGTCCTGTAGGTCGAAGCAGCACAGGCTGAGGGCGTACTCACACTAGCACACATTTTCATAAATCGTAATTTGTAGGTGATTTTCTGGGTCACAACGGCTGCATATTTTGCGTTTGAGACAACTCCGCGGGTGACCGCTGCACAGTTTCGAATTCGCAGGAATAACAGTCCACTCCAAGCTTGGGCGAAGACAAGTTCGAAACTCCAAGCTTGGGCAAAGACAAGTTCAAAATTGCATTTTTTTTTTTTTTTTTAATTCTCGGCCGTGGGCGAGGCATGACGGCCGTGGCCCAGCCACGCGACGGGATGCTCTCTCTTTCTTTTTTTTTTTTTTTCCTTTGTTTACCTCGGATGTGGCCGAGGCATCGCGGCAGTGGCCAGCCACGCAACAGTGCTTGAAAAAAAAAAAAAAACGAGAGTGAATCTTCCACTAGAACATGGAAAGATGCACCGCCACGAGGCCCCAAGGATGACACGCATAGGTTGTTGTCAGCCCGTGTATCTTGTTGGGCCCCTGTATCCCCTTTGCACAAAAGACAAAAATCATGGAGCTGTATCTTTCCATGTTCTAGCGAAGATTCACTCCCTGTATCTCGTTGGGCCCCTCTGCGTTTCCGACCATTTCTCGATTTATGCGTGTCATCCTTGCGCAGGGGCCATGCTAATCTACTCTGTATCGTTCCAATTTTAACGGATATCCCGAAGGACCCCTCTGCGTTTCCGGTAGGCCGTCGAACGCATTTTTCCTTGCAGTTTCAAACTTGTCTTCGCCCAAGCTTGGAGTTTCGAACTTGTCTTCACCCAAGCTTGGAGTGGACTGTTATTCCTGCGAATTCGAAACTGTGCAGCGGTCACCCGCGGAGTTGTTTCTTTGCGTTTTCATGCAAATGCGCACGTAAATGTCAGCGGCTTGGACAGCCGCCTGGTTACTTATTTTGCGGGAACCTCTGGAGGTCCCCGCAATTGCGTATTTCTTTTAGACCTGTTTGTTTCTGGAAACAAAAAAAAAGAATTCGACGTTTGGTGGGCACCTCTCTTAACAAAAAAACAAAAAAACAAAAAAACAAAAAAACAAAAAAACAAAAAAACGATGGATTTTTATGCGTCATGCTGTGTGAGCCCTCGGCCTTTATACGCATTCCTAGAGCAGGTCGAGACTCTGTCCTTTCTTAGGAATGCAGGTCGAGACTCTGTCCTTTCTGTTTTGTGACCTATACGGGTATACGGGTGTGCTGTGTGACTGGGAAGTGCCGTATAATCGCAAATTGGCTCACATATAATTTATTAATTTGCGATTGTATGTGCTAGTGCGAGTATGCCCTGAGTCGGACCGGTAGCCGAATAGCCGAATAGTCGGGTTGTTACAAGTACCGACAAGAAAAGTCTCCCAAAAAAGTCCGGAAGGTACGGGACACCGGAAATTCATGCAGCCGACAGGCCACGGGTGACCAGTACCGTTCAGAAGCAGACGAAGGCCAAGTCGAGCAACTATTAATAGCTGCTTCAGCCTACAGTGCAGCTTACGTATCTTTTGTCCTGAGTGATCTGCGGACGAGCTGATGGTTGCTTGTGCGACCTCACATCTTGGACCAATGCGCCAGGAGGCTGGAGAAGTGGCGCTCAGTGAGGCTTTGAGGAGAAGAGGGCGCCCATAGCCGCCATAGCTGCAGCTTGCAGCAAAGGGAGCGGATGTATCCAGGGTTACGATAGCAGCAAGAGAGGAAAGGCAGAGAGTGAGAGAGAGAGAGAGAGGAAAGGCAGAGCGATACAACAGTGAAGAAGGAATAGCCAGATAGATAGATAGAGAGAGAGAGAGAGAGAGAGAGAGAGAGAGAGAGAGAGAGAGAGAGAGAGAGAGAGAGAAACAGAAAGAGGGGCTGAGGTTACAGAGAGAGGTTACTGAAATGACAGCAAAAAGTAAATTACTACAAAGATAAATTCAGATAATAACGTCCGAATAACGGAGATTCAAAATGCTCACCGAGCCCAACAATTAAAACGAGAAAAAACTCACAGACAAACATACTTTCACAGGGCAATGAGATGAAGGGCAGCACAAGAGCAAGTTATTTAAAAGAGCACTAATGACAAGTGAAATTGAGAGAAGACTATATCGTACTTGACAAAAAAAAAAGAGGAAAGGAGGGAAGGAGGGAAGGAGGAGGACAAGTAAGGAACCCAGCCATGTCTGCCATAGCCAGCCAGTGAGCCACATACACTGGGACCAACTCTTCTTTTTTGGCCCCGTCTTCATCATCCCAGTCGTTAAGGTAAGTCACTGTCACAGTGGCAGTTTGAGTTAAACATAGATTCTTCCTATAACCCACAGCCTATCCAATACAGTCAAATTGAGTCAATCAATTAATCAATCAATCAATCAATCAATTAATGAATCAATTAATGAATCAATTAGTCAATCAATCAATCAATCAATCAATCAATCAATCAATTAATCAAACAGTCAACAGTTTAAATAGTCAAGCAGCTAGGCTACCAGAGTGGCCCGCCCGTCCGGGCCAAAAACAATTAAAAAATAAAAAATATTTTTAATTTGATTGTTTTTTTTAATCAGTAAAGTCTATCGGTGCTTTGTCTCCTGCATCTGCCCACAAAAGCACTCAGATACACACACATGCAGACAGAAGAGAAACACTAAACAGTTAAACAGCCAAACAGTCAATAGATTCTTTGTCTCCAGCATCTGATTGCTTTGATTGCAAAAGCAATCAGATACACGCGCATGCAGAAACAAAGAGAAGCAACAAGTAAACACAGCACGCAAACGTATCAGATTTCTCTCGCATCGCGCATCGATGTCCAATGGCTAAATTAAATTGGGCTTTTGTCATGTGCTGCTGTTTATGAATTTATGAATTTCTGTTAGTTGAGGACGAGCACTGCTTTGAAGTTTGAAATAACTTTTTTAAGTTTTTTTTTTTTTTTTGGCTATGGGATCTCACCTTATTAGCCTGGGCTTCCCGGCCGTGCAAGGACCATAGAAGGTCCCAGCAAGAAAAAGAAAAAAAAAAACATCAAACATTTCCGAAAAAAGAATATGCTATGCAGAAAAATAAACTGAACA